CCAAGAAAAACACCTTAAATGTTTGGGGGGCCAATTCTTCGGGAAAGCTCCGCTGAAAAATTTCGCTAATGAATAAAAATGGTTAAAATACATGTAGAGATAGCTATGGACAACGCCATGGGCCTTTGTGGACTCCAACTGAACTCTTCTGAGCTGCCCGCTTTTTCTAACCTAAACTACATGAATTATGAAAGTGAAAAAAACCGTACTGGTTTTTAATATTTTTTTTTCTTGACAGGCTATAGAACTGCATACATAAAAATTTTGTAAACACTCAGGGTAACAAAAAAAAAAAAAATAAAATTTTTGATGAAAATTTGTTAAATTTTTTCTAAATTCTGTCTAAAGTTTGAAAGTTTTATTTATATGTATGGTTTTGTTAAAAACATGAAAAAGATTGTTATAAAAAATTTACAGAAAAATCTTAGCACGAAAAAAATTGTAATTAATAAAAAAAAAAAAAATATTTCCTAAAGTTTTGACCGCCACTGTATACGTATGAATATGTATAGTCCACGAAGATGGGCTCTGTGTTACATTTAGTTCTTCAAAGTTTATGTGCCCCATTTAACATACGTACATTTGTATTGTTGCAAAATTGTAGGGTATGTATGTATGTATGTATATGCCTGCAAATGATTTAAGGCTTTCGTTTCATTAGCTACGAGGCGAATAAGGTGCATTTTTTATATGTATGTATGTATATGTGCCATCCCAGTTTATTTATTTACCAACCAAGGTGTATGCTATCGTCATGAACTGTATCCCATTAAATTTGAATGCAATAAAGTGAAAATTTCAATTGGCCCTTAAACTATCGTTGCTTTTTTATTTATTTTATTTTTTTTTTACCCTGCCATGCATTTTCTTCAACACAAAGTATGCTCAACAAAAAATTGGCAAAAATTAACGATATTTTATAGCCACTTGAAACTTCCACTTTATCACACGAAAATTTAATGGTCCAAAAATTTGCATACCCGAAAATTTTCTAAAAATGTTCTGAACTTATACTCTGCAGGACATTAGGATGGCACACCCTGTTGCAAATTTATAAAAAATTAATGAATTTTAAACAAACAAAAGAAAAACTTCCTTTTTTAATGCTGAATTAGTTTAACTAATGGTGGTCCCCTTTAAGAAGCCAAAAATCGGAAACGTTCGCCTAAATATTTCTCAGTTCTCCAGTGTGGTTTCTCGCACATTTAAGCTGATACACCTCGTCACATGCAAATACACATATTTACATAAATGTGTACATATGCAGTAGCTGCATATGTATGTATGTATCCAATCTGCCACACAACAATAAATGCTTAGACATCTGCTTAATATTTAGTATATGTATGTATGTATGTATTTATATATTATTTTTCGTTTGTATATGCACGTATGTGTGTATTTATCTATGCGGGATTATGATTAAGCTCCCATAAAATATGGTTATCATAATTCATTGTTTTATTTAGTATTTCCTAAATTGTTTAATATTTTATTTTTTATATATATATTTTTTGAATTTCACACTACACTGTAAATACATATGTATGTATTTTAAGAACAGTGTTAATTTCCTGCAATTACACCATTTCTTTATTTTCTATCATTTATTTATGTAGTAAATATTTCATTTATGCTAATAACTCGTACATATTTAGTTGTTTTCTTTTTAATTTACATAAATTTCCTTCCGTCATATTTATACGTACTTTAAACATTAGTTTATGCAATTTTTAAAGTACTGCTTGGCATTTCACTTACAAGTACAACAGGGTGTCATTTGCATTGAATTGTATTTGCATTTGCATTTGCATATTTAATATCTGATACATTTGTGTTTAGAACCCAGTTTGTTTGCGATTTATGTTTTTGTAAAAATAGAAAACAATTTAAGTGCAGTATCGAAAAAATGCTGTGAAGATTGAAAATTGTTTTTAACATTTGAAGAGTAGTTTTTATTTATTTGGTTGCCTGTTGCTTATTTATTTTTTTTTTTTGGTATTTAACTATTTTTTTCTTTTGGTGGTGGTGCATTACTAGCTCTTGGCTGGTTGCCTATTTGTAAGCAAAGTCAAAATGTTAACAACCTGTATATAATTACATATATGTATGCTTATTCCATATCTAAATTACGCTAAGTTGCTTTCAGAAAAAAACACCCTTTACACTAAGCGACACATTTAGCTATGCAATTGCACATTTTCTCCATAGTTATTATTTTTAAGTCAGTTTTATGTTTTTGGTGGTTTTAAAAATCTTCACTTTTAAGATTTGTGATTATAAATTTTTATTTTTTTGCAGTTACTCTTTTAATTTGAAAATTGTTATAATTACATACATCAAATAGTTTTCTGAAGCCATTCGAAAAAATGCATAAAAGGAAAATTTTGAACAAATAATTTTCAGGCAAAAAACAAACCCGACTTCAAATTTCATATAAAATTTTAAGACTACCGTTAATTTCTTCATGATCCAATCAGCAAAGACCAGGTGGAGAAGAAAATCAAGTGGCGGCATCTCTTTTGGCGGTAAGAAAAATAAATACGATTTTGGAAATCAGCTAGTATTCCTAGAAATTTATTAACTAAATGACATAATTTGAACTAAATTCATCATCAAAATAATACGACTCAGGAGAAAGTTTGAAGTTTGCAAACTTTTGGTCTTACACCTTAAATTCATCTAGATACGCTCTTTAAACAAGCTGCTTATGAGTAAAATAGCAAAAGCTTAAAAATTGTCTATTTATATATGTATGTATGTATGTATATATGTAAGTATGGCCGCAAGCGATTATTTATTACATACATATTTATTAACTTATTTTAATTTGAGTTAGTTATGCTTAACTGCTTAGTTTTTAAATAAATCTAATACTTGTTACGCTTTTGTTTTTGGTTTTGTCCGCGTTTGCATTAGAAACAGAAACGCCACATTTTTGCCAAATTTAATTTTTTACTAAATTTCAAATACTTCAATGGATAATTTCATTTTAAATATAAATATGTTGATGTAAAACGCATGATACAGCACCTTTGCACGTTTGTTGAATGCGCATACATCTGCATTAGGGTGAGCTGAAATTTCGTTTTATTTTAGAATTTTCATTGTCAATATTCAAAATATGTTTTTTAAAGATGCAAATTTTCGGTCGATATTTGAGACTCGACCAAAGTTCAGTCTTCAAAAAATTGTCTTCTTAGCTAATTTCGATCGCAAATTCAATTCTCCACCAAAAACAACTTTTATTAGCAAAATAACTATTTTGTAAGCTGTTATTTAATTTGCTTTGTATGTATGTGTGTATGTATGTCCATTGCCTCAAACAAATGACTGCGTGTTGATTTTTTTTGTTTAATATTCAAAACATATTTCGAACTAATTTATTTGCTTTACTTTTCTATAAGAATATAAATTTCTGTTTCGAATAGTTATTATGCAACATTTAGGAAAATTCAACAAAGTTTCATCAAAATCTCAACTTTTTAAACTGAATCTCAAAAATCTACGCTAGTTTTTAGCCGCCTGAAACTTGCACTTCATTAGACTAAAATTGTATGGGCTATAAAACTGCATTCAACAACAAAAAAAAGTGGTAACGAATTAGATTAAAAAGTTGAAATTTTGATGAATTTTTTGAATTTTCCTAAATTTTGCGTATTATTTTGAACAGTGATTTACGAAAAACATTACGAATATTAAAAAAAAATTAACACATGATCAATTGTTTGAGTCATTGCATGTAAGTATGTTTGTTTGAGTCAAATATTCCAATCAAATTTTAACCAACTTCCCGATGAGCTAGGGACTTGCACCCAGAAGTCGATAACAGTACAATACGAAACACGATTGAATCCGGTGGCGCGAGGTCGATCTACTATTTCGAAACCATTAAGCTATGGTTTGATTACATTTAAATGTATACTATTATTAGTCCTACTTAACTTTGTGTATAAAAACTTTTATTGTAGAGAATAAAATTTGCGTTAGGAGGCTAAGAAAAAAAACCTGTTGAACACTTTGATCTTGATTGACTTGGGCGAGCCTATGTTATTGAACGAAAACTTTAATCTTTCGCACAGTTTTTTTTTTTTAAGCATAATGAACTATATTTTTTCTATTAACAATAAGAATTCCAAAAAAAAAATCAGATTTTCAGCCCACCTATTCTTCAATACACATATAGATATGAGTGTATTAACATACACACATACACATAAGTAATACACAGTACATACATTTGTTTTCGCTTTTTCTTCGCAATTTTCACTATATTTTTCAATTCATTTAAATTTTTACTACAAGTACTATTAGCTTTACTTTCAAGTAGTGAATTTCTGTGTGTGTGTTTCACTATTTTATTACGTATGTATTACAGCTGCAGTTTTGAGTTGCCTCTCTATTTGGCTGTGCCTGTGTTCTTGTCTTTGAACATTGGCTTCAATTGTTTCTATGTGTGAGCTTTCCCACCGAGCTTGCACAGTTTTGCTTCTGACTGCGGCGTAATTTATTTATAACTATTCTCTTTGTATTTTTTTTTTTTAATTTTCAGTTAGCCTAAGAGTATGTGTACAAGATAAAAATTCTCTTAATATTTACAGTTGAGGTTCTGTCTTCTTTCTCGTCGATCACTTGACTATCAGATAGCGCAACGCATTTACATGACTTATGGTTTTTTACATTAAATTAAAAAAAGAGAAATGAATAACTATAACTTTTAGTTATATTGGTATATCCAAAGACTTTATGATTTCAAATGCCTCCAATTTGTTTTCTCGTCCAATGTGCAATAATAAAACTAAAATCTTAAATGGAATCTTATATTGTAGTACAAAAAAAAAAAAACAGGTCATTATTGCGTTGAAAGCTATAACTTACATTCTGATGAAACAGAAATGAGATCATTAAGGGGAATAGTTACATAAATCATAGTACAGATTCTTTTCCTTTCGGCGAAAATATTAACATTTCTTTCCAACTTTCCTTTATCATCTTTTTCCTTTGCTTTGCTTTACTTGAGCTCCCTTTTTACCTATTTTGCAGTTATAAAAGTACTCTGATTGCATAATATCAACTTTTGTCATTTCACTTATTTATGGAATTTCAATTCAATCTCCCGCTTATTTCGGGCACAACACAGCATCTCAGCAGATGAATTTAGATCCAAAAACTTTTGATGAGTTTCGCTAAAGCTAAGGTCGCAAACGAAAGTGCGGCGAGGCTTAATCGGAGTTTGTGAGTAGCACCGCTGCCGTAGAAGGTGACACTCAGATCGCGCATCTCATTATCTGTAATTGAATAGAGTTAATTTTAGTCAATATAAAGAGTTTTTTAAATTAAAAAAATTTATCAAAGATATCTTATATAAATGATTAAAATTCATAAGCCAAATGTGATAAACTTATACAAGTAGTTTATGTATAGAAAATATATAATTAAGTATAAACGGTATATACTATAAAACATAGTATACAAAGTTGGAAAGAAAATTTTGTATGTAACAAGTTTTAGAAAACTAGGCTGTATTCAATCAACTTAACTTTAGAAGAAGAAAAAAATTTGCTATTATACTTAGAAAATTTTAGCTATAAATACATATTTTTATATCTACTTTTTTACTTATAGATATCTTTAATTTAACTAAGAAATTTGTTTGAATGCTACGCATTGTTGCACTTTTTATTACCGCACTATTCTCCGTCTTCAGCTTCAGCTTCAGCGAGCTGCGACTATAGAGCCAAAGCACCTTCACTGTAGGCGCAGCATTTTCCAAGAAAAAGTACTTCCTGGCAACACACAAACACCCTTTCAAGTGTCGAATTTGTCTACACAGGACCCGGCATATACCGGACAGCAAGATGAGACACTTAACTTAATTTTAAATGATTTATTTTGGAACGAATTTCCGTCATCCCTTGTCAAGTTTGGTTTGCAGACAAACCGGTTTCGGCGTTGTGCCATCTTCAGTGTCATTTTTCGTTAAAATCCCTAATATTAGAAAGTATTTACTTACTGCACTCTCCTGAATTCCGGGAGTTATTGCTCTACAGATCTAGCTATTGAATTTGTATAACAAAATATGTTGATAATTGGTTTTTGTTTTAAAACACATTTGAATTAATAAAAATTACATATTTTAATAAAGCACTCTATTCCGATTATCGACACTGCTAGCCATCGCTGTTAAAAAAATATTTAGCGAACTATTCTATAGCAAAAGATATCTAAATTTATAAAAATCGGCGGATAATTTGTGCCTTTTGTAATTAATTGTTAAATTTTCAAGAAATCGTGAACATGTACGATACACGGCGTATGAGTAACCTTCTGCTCGTATCATACACAGTGTTTCCATTTTGATGCTTTTGGAGTTTACCTCCAGATGTGCAATAAGGTTTCAATAAATTTGAATTTAGATAACAATAAAAAAATAATAAACAATTAAAACATTATTCCTATGACTACGATTACACTGGAATTAATAAAATCTGTTTTTTTTTAAGTTGTTGGGTTTTA